TCTGTGAGACTGCTAGTGCCACAAACAGATGCTCAGATAATAAGGTATGTCAATGAGCAACATTAGCCTAAAAACGTTTTCTTAATAAAGTATGTGGTGTTTGAAATAAGTCTAGAAGGATGAATCAAATTTGGGAAAAAATGCTTTAGAAATGCACAGTGACCCAATATAGTTATTTTTATGGCATCTGGTGGTAGGGGGTGTTAATTTTCACAGCCACATTTTTAATAATCTTATTTTTCAAATTAGGGACATATGTACCTTCTTAAAAACATTTTTAAACTCCCAAAACATAGTAAGAAGAAAATCACCCTACTACTTGAGTAAGCTACTATTAACATTTTGATGTACTTTTTTCCTGTGAATTTTTTAAAAGTTGTGATCATCCATCTGTACAATTTTGTATCCAGATTTTTTTCAGTTAAGATGTGAACTTTTTTCATGTTATTAAAAAAAAAATCTATGGATATGGTATCTTTAAATCCTGCATAAAATTCCACTGTAAAGATGTACCCATCTATATACCAGTTCCCTTACTGCTATACATTTAGGTTAAAGTTTCTAGTTTTTCACTATTATAAGCCCGAGATGAGCAGGGTAGTTGATGTTTTTGTTTCTCTCTGTCCATTTCACCCTCTTTGTGGTCCCCAGATCTTGTTCTATCCTCAATCGGCCGTGTGGTTTGGGGAGGATTGGCCCAGCTCCAGGATGGGTTTAAGTTAGTCAGTGTAACCCATGCCCCTGCCCATGAAAGGCTGGGTCAGGGGATGGGCATATAACCATTTTAAAAAGTTAAAATGTTCCCATGACACTCTTTACTCAAAAACTTCATTTTCAGAGGTAGAATTACTACATGTGGCACCAGAATGCTTTCCAATGTATCAGATAAACACAGTCATAGTATAAAATTCTTGTTGGAATCATTAAAGGGCACAGTGAATGTGATTCAGGAAAAGAAAGAGAGCCCGACTATTACAGCTAGGACAGAATTTATGTTCAAAGAAAAAGCTGGTGAAATAAGAATTGGCATATAAAAGCAAACTCATTGACATTTAGGACACACACATTTTATAACCATACATTTTGCTTATATATTTTAAATCCTGGGACAAAATGGCTACACTATATTTTAGAAATGATGCTATACTATCAGATATTAGCAGAACTGAAATCCTCAAGAAAAACAGAAGGTTGTTGTGTGTTTTTCCTACATACCACCTCACCTTATAAGCTCAAGGACTGAGATAGAAATAAGGTAATCACTAAAGAACTCAAAATCAAGGAAAAGTATCTACCACTATCAGAAAAAACATATCAATTTTTGCTGTCTAGAACCATATCAAAGGTTGAAGATATGGTCACTTTTGTGGAGTTTGAATGAATTTAGTGAATCCTGGAATCTTCAGGTCTTTGCTGACAAAAAGAAGCCTAAATGAATAAAAGTTCATGGATCCCTGCTTTCTTACCAAGTGACAAAACAGTGCTTGTATCAGTAAGATATACAGATACTCCTGGATTTATGACAGGCTTACACAAGTCAAAATATCATAAACTGAAAATGTATTTAATACACCAATAAACTCATTATAAAGTCAAAAAATTGAAGTTGAACCATCATGCGTTGGGAACCATCTGTATTTATAGGTATAGGGTAGGCTGACGGGGGTTTGGGACCCCAGAGATCACACACTAAAGGAGACAGTGGGAGACATATTTAAGTGTGCCAATAATATGAGACTGTATACATTGGCATGCATAGAGACTTCTGATCCACATGCAATGTGGATAAGGCTTTACTTTAAACTCAAGTCACTTGGAACAGTGTCTGTAGTATTGTTGCCAGCTACAATGGCTGGCAGGTTGCCAGTATTTTGTAGTATATACTGCCTCCTGACATACTGAATAAGAGTTTTGACCTTTGTTAAATAAAAAGTGGACACAAATATTTGAAGTGGCTTATAAGGAATCTATTAAAAAGTAGAAAAATACCAACAAAGCGGACACAGGAAATCTATAGATAGAATACAGCAAGACCAAAGGAAGGGTTAAGGCATAGATATGAATCCACCCATTTCCTACAATGATCTACAAATTTGGCTTTGAGTTTCCTGCCAGCCAAGCAAGGCACAAAGATTAACATGAGCACTTAAGACTTCACACTGTCCAAACGAAATAGGGCTATCTGTGCATTTCATGGACGGTGGGGAGGGAGGGAGGGAGATTTCCACATGTGAATATTTGGTAACTAATTAGTTTTGGAGATCTCTAAGATGGCATTATATTTAATAACAATTATTACTTTTCTTTATATGGCACTTAATACTTTGCAGAGTAATTTCACATTCTTTAATCTGCGCAAAAATCCTGTGATATAAGATTTGAGGGTATTATTATTATTTTTTTTAGAGACATGGTCTCGTTCTGTCACTCAGGCTGGAGTGCAGTGGCACAATCACAGCTCATTGCAACCTCCAACTCTGGGGCTCAAGTGATCTTCCTGCCCCAGCCTCCCGAGTAGCTGGGACTAAGGCATGTGCCATGGCGCCCAGCTAATTTTTTTGTAGAGACAGGGTCTCATTATGTTGCCCAGGGTGGTCTCAAACTCCTGGTCTCAAGCGATACTCCCACCTTGGCCTCCCAAAGTGCTGGGATTATAGGCCTGAGCCACCATACCCGTTCAAGGTATTATTAAAGCAATAATGAATCTTTCATTGGCACGTCTAAGAACCCTGTCTAACTGGGAACACAACACAAAAGGGTTGTGTTAGGCTTAGGCTTAGTAGAAAGATCTCCGAGATAACAAACCAAATGGCAAAAAAACTCTCTCAGAACCTATAACCTGAAATTATAACAAAGTTAATTTCCTTCCTAAAACCACAGTGGATTAAAAGTAAAAGAATAGGCACTCTGAAAGGCCTCAAATGGCTACACAGGAAAGCAGAGAAAAAACCAAAAACAAAAGAATAGTTAGCGTACAAACTGAAAACCCTAAACACTCACCAAGTAGGATAAACCAGGGTGTGTTAAGGGGTCAGACCCTCTCCGCCCTGGACCTTTATGAATTAGTTCTTCACACGCTGTCTCGTGATCTTTCAGGAACCAAAATGTGATTTTGCTTGCCTGCTGCCAACTCTTAGAACCCTTCAGTGACTTTCCAAGCTCCAAGTTCATAAGATAAATCCTTATTCAAAAGAGCTCACAAGGTCTCCCTCAGGTTCTGGCTGCTGCCTGCCTCTCCAGCCCCACCTGTTTGGGCCTTTTCACATTTTCTTCCTGCTACCTGGGAGTGTCTCACTGCTGCCTCTCCTGGGCAACCTGAAATGTCTTTTCCTTAGAAAGCCTGACCTGGTCGTGAAGCCTAGATTAGGCTCTCCTGTGCACCACTGGCACCTTTGCAGTTGAGAACTCATCGCATTTGCACTTAATTAGTCTGATTGTTTAGTACCTATTTCCTCCAGTGTACTGTGAACTCTGGTGGAACAAGGACTGTGTCTGGCTTGATTATATGCCGAATATTTACTGGAAAAAAAGAAGTAATGTCACAGGATAAGCATGATACATCTTCCTGGCATATAGTATTTAAATTTTATTAAAATATCTTTTTGGGGAGGGGAAGGCTATCATTTTCTTTACTAAAGCAAAAAAGATTATGAAGTAGAATGGAAAATACATATAAATTTTAAAGCTAAAACAAGACTTCCAGAATGCTTCAGGCTACGCCCCCAGACTTTTCTAGAGACATTGTGTTTAAAATAATATGGAAACACAATGTGATAAAAGATCCATTTCACAGAGGATCAGGATAACCAGGGTTTATCTTCATTACATGAGATGAGAATATGTGTATGAAGAGGGCTTTGCAAACTATAAGGCTTTATGCAAACATTATTATTGAAAAATCCGTGTCCCGAAGAGGTGGAATGATTTGGCTATTACATCGCCAATTACAGGTGGGGCTGGCTCCAGAACCCAAGCCTCCCGGGGCCTGTCTAGCCCACTGCTTTTCATTAACGCACTGCACCTGCCACCCGGTCCCTGCCGCAAAGGGTCGCCTCGCTCCCAAGCTAGGAGCCATATCCAGGGCGGACGGCTTATGCCAGCCTCAAAGACATAAGTTTCGATCAACCAGACTGAGAAGCGGGTAGGAAAACAAGCCAAGCATTTCCCAGCATCGTAATCCAGGGGCTTTCTGCTGTCTCTGGCGGGACTGGGCAGTTCCCCTCCAGGACTGCAAACCCGGCCAGCTTCGCTCTGGCCCAAACCCGCGTGGCTCTCCCCCTTGCGGCGACAACGCAGGACTGCAGCGCATTCCGAAGACACTGTCAATCTTTTTAGAAGCTCAGGCAGTATTTATGGGGCCTGGGAGGCGGGAAAGCTCGGGAGTAGCTAAGGAGAGCGAACATAGTGCAGGAGTCGATGCTGCTGCCTGGCTTCGGGGTCCTGCGGCGCAGTCAGTTCCTATGCACAAAGGTTGGCCACAGCTGCTGCCTTGGAAGCCGGGGACCCACTTAGGCTGCCGCCGAGGAGGGCGGAGGTCCCCGTCAGTCCTCTCGGGAGTGCAGCCGCTTTTCCCCCTCTGTACCCCCGGCCGGAGCCAGAGCGTAAAGCCGAGGGGCGCAGGCGGGGCTTGCTTGCCGGAACCCGGGCGCCAGAGGCGCCGACGCCCCGCCAGCCCACCCCCGCGGGGAAAAGGGCGCTGCTGCGGTATGCCCGCGGAGGACGCCGGCGCCGCCGCCTCGGGCTCGCGCGCGGCGCGTGCACGCGAGTGGGCGTGGGAGGCAGGGGCGCTACTAGCCGGCGGCGTGCGCGCGCGCGCTCCCCCCGTGCGCCCTCCCTTGCAGGCCGGCGGGGCCGGGCTCCGGCGCGCGTCACGAGGAGCGAGCGAGCGAGCGAGCAAGCGGGCGGGAGGGTGGGGAAAGGGGGTGGGGCCGCGGGACCGGAGGGGTCCGAGCGGCGGCTGCGGAGCCGGAGCCGGAGCTGGGCGAGGGCGGCCGCGGTGCCGGCGGCGGCGGTGGCGGCAGCAGCAGCGGGAGAAGATGGTGGCGCTGGAGGTAGGAGCGGCTGGAGCGGAGCTTTATTCCCAGGCTTGGCACCAACGCTGTCATTAGCGCCGCCTGCTCCCGCGGGCCCGCGGACCCAGCTGTCAGGCAAGGTACCACCGCCAGGGAGGGATGGGTGGAGTAGGGGGTGCCCAGTGCTGATGCCGCCCCCGACGGAGCCCCGGTCCTCACTGAAGGGCGCCCCCGGGCGCGAGAGGGGCTACATGGAACAATAGTGCGGATGAGCGGGGACAGCAAGCGACATCCAAGGGGCAAGTCCTTTAGCCACGGAGCCAGCGAGGCGGGGGAAGGCGGCGTTGGGAGAAGAGACGTCTGGTGTGCGCCGCACACTGAAATACCGGGGGCTTGGGGGCAGCGATCGGGCCTGATGACAGTCATGGCAGGACTGTGTGTGAGTGTGTGTGTGTGTGTGTGTGTGTGTGTGTGTGTGTGTAAAAGGCACAGAAAGGGGATGGGGGTAGCAGTCCGGAGCTGTTGGGGGTGACATTTCCAGGAATCCCTGCTAGGATTCCTCATCTCTCAGTTGACTCTCCAGGGGAAAGAATGTGCAGATGGAAACGGTGAGGTGGGCAGGATGCACTTGGTGTGTGAAGTGTGGAGGGTAGCAGTGGGGTAGGGACGGGTTTGTGAAATCCTGTGTAGGTGTGTGTACGCATGTGATTGCATCCACGTTCCCCAAACTGCGCCCCAAACCCAGACATCTGCCTGCGCCCTGACTCGATGTCACCAGCTAAGACTGTGGGACAGTGTTTATTATTTTGACCCTACAACTCTGAGTACAGTCTCTGTCTGCTCCGGAGTGTGGACGGCCCAGTGTAGGGTTTCTCGCTTCCCCTTCCTCTGGCTTCATGACATGGGGATGTGGAAGTGGGCATGTCGCTTTGAGACACATGGCCGTGAAATAAGATAACGGTTACACATTCTACGATTGCTGGTGTCCCCAGTTTTGAAGGAAGCTTCCATCCCGTGATATTTCTTTTCTCATTAGACTGTGTTTTGTAAGAGTCTTGGACTCCTGACTCTGCAGTTTCTATTGTTTTTCTCTTGTCTGACCTGAAGGAGAAGGGTCTTTGATGGTCTGAATCCTCTCTCTGTCCCCACAACTTCGAATGCCTACTAGACCTTCTCCTTCCATATTTAAACACTGAATACCTTATGGCTGAAGGATGGGTGGTCTTTGTGTTGGTTCTTTTAGTATGAACTCTGGAGATATGTGTAGAGAGAGAGACTGGAGAGGTCTTTAAAAAAAGAAGAAAAAGATCATACTGAGACATGTTTGGTGCCCCTTGCTCAGCATTACACAGGGCGTTTTCTTTAGAGAATGGGATACCCTCTGCTGCTGGTGACATGTACTCTCTCAGCTCTCACAATGGCTAGGTGGTGCTGTATCATTTGGGAACTGAAATCTCCCAAGACCCACCGTTATGGGGTCCCAGGTCAGTGAAGTCCCTGCTTTCCGACCCGATGTAGCCCAGTAGTAGGGAATTTAGAAAATGTCAGACTGGCAATAACTCACCCAGTGAGAACCAGGACACAGAAATGAATCCGGACTCTATAGCTGCTTAATTGTCTCTGCGTGATAAAGATAGTCTTGTGTAGGGTTGGACAGAGATAGGAAGGGAGATGGCATATTCATGTGTGTCCACGGCAGTTTGACTCCCCGTTGCCTGTATTTCTCCTGTGGTATTCATAGGAATGAGTGCACTTTACACTTCATATCTTGATGCTTCTTTATTAAAATGTTGTATGACTAGATCAACCTGCTTAGAACATATTATAGTCGTAACACTTTAAATTCTACTGCATTGCTGTCGGAACCCGAACTAGCTTCCTCAGTCTTCTTTGAAAATCCTGTAGCAGTCATGACTACACAAGTAAATATACAACACGTTGGCACCAGAGATTTTTCTTTTAAATCTAAAAAATTTTGTTTAAAAATTTTGTTTTGTTTTTTGGCAAAGGTTGCATGATAGCGTTGTTACATTGAAAATAATAAAACTAGGGCTATCTACATATGCGTTTTTCTTCCCATTTCTCTTCTCTTAATTAATGATGATATATAGACCAGGTGCTCTTGAGCTGTCAAGGTAAAGTAAATTTTCCATGTTCTTCAAGTCAAGACTTCTAAAATTTTAATGTGAGGTTGTTGAATCTCATCCAAGATTTAAGGATAGATTTATAAAAATGAATTTTGAATCTTAGTTCTTTACTCACTTATTAGCTCTGCCAAATATCTTTCTGAGAAAAGTACTTATGGAATTTCAAAGCCATCCTAAGAGGTTTTGGCTTAAAAAAATAAAAAGTCATCATCTTTATATTTGCAAGTAAAACCAGACATGTAAATGTCTTACAAGAAAGTTTAAGAATATTAGGAATTACCAAGGTAAATAAACTGTTTGGAGAAAGAGGAATTATATAGTAGCATAATTGATGACTCGGGAATTAGTGATCTCCTTTCTAATGTAAAAGTGATAATTTTTAAAATACAGTGCCTGGCTTTTCTAAAGAGTGGACTGATAAGGTTAATGATACAGCTTGAATCCTGTAATTCAGTCTGGTAAAGGGTTGTACCTTTTGCTGCAGCCTGCAGCAAACCATTTGTTTTGCATGGATGTCTTTTCTTCACTTAAGGTAGCATTAATGCTTTTCTATTCCGTTATTGAGCCTCTTGAAGTTTGTTTTTTTAGAAGACTTAGGAGTAAAAGACATTTAAAAATTGATCTGTGAGACCAAAAGGAATAAACTATGGTACCATGGGGAGATAGGACTTTTATTTTACACAGAAGAAGTAATTGTTGCTAAAATTGAGAAAATTTCAAGCCCAAAATCCAAAGTTAACCCTCCAGATTGCAATAATTAATTTACAAATATTTGTTAATTGCCGTCTACATCTCAGGCACTGAATATCTTTGGATAGGGGACAGGGAACATTGAGTAGGGTTGGAGATTCAAAGAATGATGAGATTTAGGTCCTGTCCAGGGATAGTTCATGATCTAGAAGGAGAAAAGAGGCATGTATGTTACTAACTATAAAAATGGCAGAAAATGGTTGAGTGCTGAAAAGGCAGTATTCCTGCAGTGCTGTGGGAGTTCACAGGGTACAGCAGTGACTCCTGACGGAAGAATCAGGGAAGGTTATATGGAAGAGATAGCATTTGGGCTGGGGTTGTACAGGTGGCATTTGGGATGGCAGAGAAGGAAGGGCATGCTTGGGGGAGGAACAGCCTAGCAAAGGCCTGGTGGTGGGAAGGTGTGCGCTACATAGGGTAAAGAGAATGGTGTGCTTTGGCTGGAGTGCTGGGAATGCCAAGAGATGTAATGAGAGAAGAAGCAAGAAAGAGAGGTTTGTTCAAGATTTGAAGCAACTTGTATGCCAAGGTAAGGAGTGTGGATTTTATTCAGTAAGTACTAGGGAGCCTTGAAAAGTTTCTGGGGAGGAGGGTTGACAGGATCAGAACTGTGCTTTAGCACAATGCTTTTACAGCATTAGGTTGAATGGAATGACACGGGAAGAGATTGATGGGAGGGAGACCAGATAGAACCCATTGCCAAATTACGGGAAAGAGGGAAAGAGGCAGTGGGCGTGAAGAGCGGGGCACAGAGCTCACGGACCTAAGAGATGGTGTTCAGGAATAATCTGAGCAGCTCAAACTGGAAATGGGGGAAAGGGAGAAGGGAAGTCAAAGGTCATTGTCAGGCTTAGCTGAGAGAATGGTTGGGTCATTTTCAGTAAGAAGATTCAAAGGAGAATGAGGAAGAGGAGAAAAAGGAAGTTTCATTTTGAGCATGCCAGGTTTGTCCAAGTGAAGGGACTAGAATACAGGCACAGAGCTTCAGTGAGAGAGGTTAAGAGCTACAAACAGATTTGTAAATCATCTACTTAGGAGCAATTTTGATGTCCCAAGAATCACTAATAAAGAACATTGGGGAGAGAAGAAGCAAAGGATAATGGTAGGATCCTTGAGGGATGTTTATATGTTGGAGGGGAAAAGAGAAGGAAGAGGGTAAGAACCATATTAAACCAGAGGCAGTTGTATAAAAATGATAGGAGTAGAGTAGCACAGTGTCATGGAAGCTGGGAAGGGTGAGGGGAGCCCCTGTCATTCATACAGCACACCCCATGAGCAAGGGAGTGACCAAGGCAAAGCCACTGCCTGTGTCTCCTGGTTTCCTTGGAGATGGGTGGAAGTGGCCACCAGGTGATAAGGGGTTGCAGGGTGTGGGGCAAGGAGAATAGAAAGCAATGAAAACAGCTTCCTTTTCAGTAAGTTGGGATGTAAAGGAGAAGGCAAGAGAGTATGAAATATCAAAGGAATAGCATAGTAGAGGGAAAGTAGTGTTTTTAGTATAGGAAGACTTGAGCCTACTTTACGAACAGAGGAGAGGAATCCATTGAGAGGGAGAGAGACTGAAAACATAAGGGAAAGTCTGAGTTGGTGGAGTATTCAAGAGGATGGGAGGATACCGGATGAAAGCAACGGGAGAACTCTTCTGAGACAGAAGCATAAGAATTTTAAGGTGGAAAGAAAGGAATTTGGCCACAGTTTTTAATGGAAAGTCAAAAGAGGGGTGGACAGGTTCAATTAGGGGTGAATAGAAGATTATCACCCAACTGTGAGGGCCTCCTGTGTTTAAAGAGCATGAATTTGTAGTGGAATGAATTAGTTGCTGATAATTGGAGTTTGACAACTACTTAGGTAATTTTTGGAATAGTGAGCGTTTAATGTTGCTAAATACAGTGGTTCTTGGCTTCTTAAATGCAATGAAAAGAGAAGAATGTTTACCTTTAAAGTTACCTGAATAAGAGACTCTATCTGAAGTATTTCCTGTGAATATTCTGCCTCAGAGATCACTGAGCTAAGTTCATAGTAAAATAATGGGGAAAAACATAAGTGTTTTTTAAAAGATGAGAGTCTCCTGTCTATAATGGCAAGATATGGCTTTACAGGGGAGGGTAAAGTTGATTTTCAAAAGAAAAATCGAACATAGCTGGCATCTTACCCAACACTGTACCAATTATATGCACTCGATGTACGTTTGTCGCATGAATACATGCTTATTTTTAGTAAGCTAAGTATAGTATCTAAGATCT